TCAGCTTGCCTCGGCACCGGTGCAGTCTTAGGACATCAATGGCCATTGTCGGCGCCGTGGTGTGGTTGGATGTGATGAGTGTGGATCAGATCCCTTCATGAACATGTAACATATAGATCATATAGTTTAATTACAGTATATGGAAACGTTTGGTGAAAATCAGGTTCAAATGGTATTTGTTTCTCAGGGATTCGACCTTTGCAGTCCCAATTTTAGCATAGGAAGCCTCCAAGTTTGGGATGAAAACTGCCAGCAAACATCCACTGCCAGCAGCCTTCCCCCTTCCAGGTGTTCACCATCCACCTGTATCGTTCGCCGGGCCACGATCGTTTCGGAAGGGGATGTGTTGATTGGTGCGTGGATTCCGATAGCGCTTGGCGAGGCCGAAGTCGATGATGTAGACGTCACCCGCTTTCTTTTGAACTCCCATCCTGAGAGAGGCAGGGCTGCTGGGATTGGCTTAAGGAACCGGGGATTAAATATATAGAGGATTTAACCATAGGAAAAAAAAAGGCCTTAAGCAAAACCAGGGCTAGAGATGCCACAGGATGCCAGAATGACTGCCAGAATGGTATACTGTAAGTGTCATTGAGTGCCAATGGTGTGGGTGAAACCACTTAAATACGTTAAATATGGGGCCTGCAGGACAACGAATGGAGCACTCGACGGGTGGAGTGTTCCTCCAGGCGGAAGGCTTCATCTAGGCACGCACGGGGAGCCGGCACTGCTGGAACCCCCAAAACATAGACCTGACCTGTGGCAAATACATTGAATGCAAAGGGCAACTCAGGTTTCGGCAGGACTTATAGAGTAGCGTTCTAGATTCTATTATTCGTTGATGAATCCAGACTTCGTAAAGACATGTTTTTGCAATTGTTTGATAGTTCTCACTTTATCTCTTCCTCTCTTGGTCGGACCTTCGTTGTCCTGCAGAGCACACGGACCACAGCTTGGACTTGATTGTAGATTGTAAATCTCATTCTCCCAAGCTACCCCAACGGCAGCCACATGATAGTCAAGCATCAAGAAGTTCTCGGGCTTGATGTCCCGATGCAGAAATCCACGCGAATGCACATACCTGAGGAGATTTGGGGCTGTCACACGGAGCGAGACGATGAAGGAGCCTTACAAGAACCGTCATGACCACAAGCTCCCTCAACTAAATCAAGACTGCATAGCTTCATTTTTCCATATTGCTGCCGAAGGGAAACTCTGCAACCTTGTGGTCAGTGGCCAACTTGCATATGTGTGAAATTCTGTATATAAATACCCAAAGCTTACACATTTGGCACTGGAGGACTTTGTATAAATCACTCAAAACCATCACAGCGGTTTCCAACAGGTTGTGCCATTTACAATGCTATTCCCTCGTTGCATCTCTTCCCCGGGCTCCGGGACAAGGACCGGCATGTTTCATGGCGTATCATGGCGACCTCCAAAAGAACATGTCACATGGGTATGCCCGGTATGCCGTATGCCATGTCTCTATTGGATTTGTTTAAGGATGTTTAAAGGAGGAACACTTCACCTCCTTCTCAGTCCTTCTCCCAAAACTGCCACATCCCTTGCGTAACTCGCCGCTCGATGGCATCAATCATCTGCTGGCCGATGGAGGCGATCGTCTTCATGCTGAACTTCCGGTCGCAGTAGGTGAACAGGTCCTCTCTCCCCACGCGGAGAACGGCGGAGGCGCGCCGCAGTGGGGTGGGGCCCCACGGGGCCGACTGGACGATGCCGCCGCGGCGCGTCCGTTAGCTGCGAGGAGGTCCCGCGGAGTCGAATCTGCGGAGTCGAGTCGGTGCCGCGACTTCCGGCGGGGAGGTGCAATCATGTGCGGAAAAAGAGAACTGCAGGTTGGGTGGGTGGTTTGGGTCAGCTCGAACACAGCCGGCGAAGCTGACCCAGAAGAGGGGGCCGCTGTCGAAGCCCCATTAGGCGTCCCCACACCTCCCTCCTTGGTGCCCAGAAGAGGGGAGAAAAAAGGGAGGGGAGCATGTTCATCTTCGAAGTGTCATGCTTCGGCTGCAGAGTGAGGAAACATGAGGAAACTACATGTTCCCCACATGAACTACTCTCGACCAGCAGTACAAACCTGTTTTGTACCTCCGGCACGCGGTCCAGCGGCGCGGTCGGAACAAAGAACATCCAGCAGCCCCAGGAGTGTTCGAAGATCAACCTAACAAAGGAAGCGCTATCGCCACAGGCTGACTCCTCCAAAGAGGGCCCGAGCAAGTCAATGACCATGACCTTGGGATTGGAGGTCTGATGGCAACCCGATAACAGCCTGACGGTATGATTCACAAGTCGGTGTGTATGTCAATGGGCAGACCGGCAGACCCAACAAAAAAGAGTGTTGGACCAAAAGAAACTACCACGGGTCTTTGGGAGGTCTCCTTATTTGAATACACACCCCAGTGTTCGTTGATTCCTTTCCACACTGCCGCCCAGCAACATTGTACTCACCCTCGACACCATACCAGTGCACGGCTGGAATCTGCACCTGAAACGGACAAAAAAAGACATACACTGAGAGCACTACTGAGAGCCGCGCCAAACAATGGGGTGAAAGTTCAAAGTACATAAAGTACCTGGACCATCCATAGAAGCCCAGTCAGTCTAGCATGGTCCATGAGTTGCCCATTGGATGATCCTGGTAGATGGGCTTAACTTGCGCTACACATGGGCTCCAACACCAGTGGAGTCAGATTAGCCCATGTGAAACACCGCGCGCAGGATGTACAGTTTGACGTGGAAGCTTGCAACATCTTGCAACTGGATGCAAGAAGAGTACGCCTGGTCACCCATCTGCCATTTCCAATTTGCATGAAGAACATCATCGTTTACCACCAGCGAAGGGGCTTCTCTTAAAGTCCGGAGTCTCTTACAGACCTAGATCTGGCCCCCCTCCCAACGACCGAGATCTGGTGTTCCAAATGACATCGGACAGAAGCCATTCGAGGGAACTCAACCGTCGAACCAATGACCAGTCGCACCGACCACCAACCGCTCGGGAGCTGGAGGTCAGGAAGCCTGAACAGTCTCATCGATCAACCAGAAAACGCACCAAAACCTCCCTCTTAAGATACCTTGGCGTGCGAAAAGGACCAAAAACCGAGTGACACCATTGGAGATGAGCTTGTAGAGCTTGGACTCGAAAACCAGCAGCGGATGTTGGGCCTGCACAGTGGAATTCGGAATTGTGGCCTTTGGGACCCCAGAAAACCGTAAAAGTTGTGCCTCACATCAACGACTGACAGTTGAGCTTGTGCTGCTTCGGGGGCCACTCTTCCCAGAATTCCACCCAGCAATGCACCGCCTTCACCGACTCCAACTTAATGGCCACTGGAGCTCCAGTGGTGATGTTGATGCCTTGGCAGTTGGCGGTTCTAGGCCGAGGATTTCCGATGCTCTTTTTGCAATGTTGTGTTTCGGCGATACTCTGTTTTTAAGCTGCAAGCATCGGGTACTTAGTGTCATGGGTGGTGCTGTAGAAGGCATTCTTTCGTGAATGGTTGGTTACTAAAGTTTGGGGGACAACACTGTATTGATTATGATGGTAATATTGGTCTATTATTGCATTATCTAGGTCAAACGGACCGAAAGACATGGGTAGAGATCACCATCTCAGAGACCTTGCGACTCAGAGACCTTGTGGCGTCCGCCATCTCGAATGCAAGGCCTCTTCCAGGAGTCACAAAGGGACGGTTTTTAGTCCCATCCAGTGAGTGGATAATGGACACCCCTATCCTCCAATAGGCACCCCGTCTTGTGACTGCTGGTTTGTGACTCTTTGTGCCCGATTCTTCGCAGGTCTTTCCAGCGCCCCATCCCTCGCGCTGCTCCCAAGGTGCCCATGTAGATGTCGCCGAAGGAGCCGGAGCCGATCTTCTCTGACACCTCGGGAGCGTCAGCCGATGCGGGCTTTTCTGGGTGGTCGAAATTGTGGTACCTGGTGGTTGCGTGGAGACCTGGTCTGGTGTGCATGATCTCCTAGGAAGACCTCCCAGGCGTTCCGACCCGGAAGGTTGTCTATACCTGTTGGGCCAGATCTCCCCATTCAAGGCAGCGCCAACCCCTGCCCCAGCCTGCAATCAACGGCCCTGCCTGGAATTTGCCAGCAATCAACTGCGCCATGGGTCGTGCAGCTGGTCTCCTGAAGCGGACAACAGCTGATGCTGCAGGTGGTCTGCTACGGAAATCGGCTTGAGGATGCTTGAGGCAAATCTCGCACAGGACGTGTCACATCAAAGCTTTTGGAAGCGCAAACCCTCTCAACACTATTACTAATGTCTATCTGGTTGGTGTTTTCAGCCTACTTGAAAAATATTAATCGGAGGGTCCAATCATCCCCCACTTAAGGGTTGAAAATAGAATCCGAAACCATCACCTATAGCTAAGCTCTGTTCTTTCTTGGTCTTCTTTGCCTTGCCTCACACCCCGGCGGCGCCCATGGGCACCGCGCCCATCACCCCGAAGCCGCCCCGAAACCGCCGCTGCTCCTGTGGCCAGGCCGAGGTCCTCGGCCCTACAGGGTTCATTGCCCTGTCATCGTCTTGAGCCACGTCTCGAACGCACTCATCGGCTCGCCCGCACTCACGAGGGGCGAGAAAGAGTCAGAGTTGAAGAGGTGATGGGCTCGTGTCGGGATGTAAAGTATACGAATGCATTTGAGTTCACATGTCGATCTTTACTACAGTAGGTGCAAAACAAACAGCTCATTAAAGCTATGGAGCGAAGTCGGATCGATCAAGCAGTATGGATGGAGGCCAGTGGGTGCTTACAAATGGTACACTCCGACGAACACATCACATGGAAGTGGAGTTCACCATCTGTTGGTAAAGGAAAGTACTCTCTCTTTCGGGACAATGCCATCCACTTCCATGTTAGTGAAGTTTCGTCAGAGTGTAACTAGTAATCATCTCGCTTGTCATCCTGACGATGAACTCCTCCAACTCACCTGGTCCCCTCGCAGACTACCCGTGCTTGCAGATCCCAGGCTCGACCAGCTCGCGTGCCTGTGGCACAGCTTGCTGTCGTAGCTGCTGACAGGTGGCAAGGATCCAAATCACCTTGGCAGCTCAAGTGGTTGAAGTCTGGCAGCATGGCACATCACCCCTTCTCTGGTGGGGCCTACGGCATGGGACTCATGGGAAGGTTCCGGAGTCCTTAGCTTTTAGGATTTTGCCCATATGAGGAGCTTTGAGGACGTTCCTCGGATCAGGATGTTTGCCATAGGTTGGAGCACGACCAAATCAGTGACGTCTTCGAATGCAGCACTGAGTTTCTCCCTGCCGCCCCGCCGAGTGGCATTCGCGACGCTTTGAGAGTCTAATGACTGGACTCTGGGCAGGAGCAGCTGCACGGACTCCTCGAAGATATGGCTGAAAGCCACCTCATCATCCGCCACCCAGACCCCCGCTTTAGGGCCAAGAAGTGTCATCACACCGTCTCTCCATGGACCGTTTCGGATGCAACTCGATGGGTGGATCGGATCTTCGAGAAGTTGCAAAGACACAAGTTCTATGGTCTTGAAACTCGGTGCACTGATCACACCTTCAGCTCAAAGACATACAGCCAATTCAGGAGCCTACGAAAAAAGTCTTCTTCACTTGCGTCAGCTCTTGTCCCATGTTTCATCTCGAACGAACGAGAAGGTCAGCACCAGGCGCATGCGCATGCACTGGCGCTCTGCCGTCAAGCTTCTGACTCAGGCTTCGCACGGACATAGGCCCACCTCTTTGCACTTGCGGCTGTGTCACAACAAGGGGAGCCTGGGGTGATGCCGGGTGAGCCACCGAAAATGAACAAATCCCTCTACTACTCTACAAGGATCTACAAGGGATATCAACCTTCCATGGTTTGCAGTAGGGTGAGGTTTTGACCCACTGCAATACGAAGAGGATTGGACCGCCTCTTTCGAAATCTCGACGGCTCTCGAGGGATTCCCATCAGCGGGTGCTAAACCTGCAGCAGGCACTGACAAGTCAAGAAGGGGAGGCCAACATAGGTGAACCGCTTGGAGGTGCTTTCCCCATCTGTGAGGGCCCATCCGAAGGTTGGCAAACCCGAACTTTCTTAGGTCGTGAAGGATTGCACACATGAAAGCTAATAATGCAACTGTAGCGTATGCGTATGTGTATATATACACAGATACAAATAAATAGAGATTACATATAAGATATACATTTGTCTAAAGTGGGTGCATGCAACCGGCAAATTTCAAGCAAAAAAAAAGTATTGTTTGTATATTGTTTGTTGCTTTGTGCCAGTGGATGTAACTGGGGGTGGTATGGAGTGGTTGTTCTGTCTGACCCATGGCGCCAAGCACATCCCACCACCAGGCCCACCGATCTTCGGTCCCAGAGATGGCACAGTTAGGCCCTGACATGATCCCACAGAGCTCATCAAGCCGGAAAGTGCTCAAGCGACCACAGGCGCGCTTGGTCAACACATCGAAGACCTGCTGGCCTTGGTGTCTTTGCTGGACAGCCAGGCTGTGCCATCACCAGCAGCCAAGTTCTTGAACTCTTACAACGTCAAAACACATCACAAATATGCCAATGATTCATTCTTGAACCATAGTTCGTCCCTGCCCCTTCATTTTTCACCACCCAGTCGAAAGTTTTCACCCAGGTCAGGCCTGGCAGCATGGGCAATAGAGATAAATAATAGATTGCAATAATGACAAAGTGCCCCACTCGCGGTGGAAAGGGGACTGGAGTCGGCCAAGTGTTGTGGTGCTTCCATTCTACGAACATCAAAATCATCACCAATCACCACGGGTATTCTTTCTCTCTCTCTCTCTCTCTCTCTCCCCCTCCCATCCCCCATGCCTTCAATGTCCCAGAGCTTTGCAATGGCAGCGGTATCTATTTCTAATTGTTCATTCTAAACATGTGCACAGTCCAAGAGCAACAAGCGGAGTCAACTCCGTTTCAGCTTGGCGCACTGGGAAGCTGTGTGGTGGCATAGGCCCATGCAGAGTTGGCGAGGTTCCTGACCGCTCCGTAGATGGACAAAGAGACCGAGAAAGAATATGTTGGTTCATCATACTGCAGGTTACTTTATGGTTTCTGGGATGCTCAGTTTTGATGGAACAATTCACACCAAAGCTTGGGAACCTTTTCCACACGAAGGGGCGTTTGCCGTTGGCAACCGTTGGACAACGGCACGGAAAGCGGCTGAAAACCCCATTGTACTCATGTTTTTGATGCTGATTTTTAAGCTGCGATGCTACCTTCTATGTCATCTATGTCGATCATGCACCGGTGGTCCTGATTCTTCACCTTCCAAGGGCTGTCTACCAGCCGGGGAGAAAGCCTTTTGCCTCTGTATGTAGGAGGAAGGTTGACCAACAGCTTTTGACCTGCAAGCACCTGTTGCTGTTGAGCTGAGCATCTGATTGTCGAAGGACTCAATGTTCAGTGCTACGTATTCCTTGAAGGCACGGCACAGGACACACTTTGCAAAACATGCATCTTCTAAGTGCAAACATGTTGTGTAGGTCCCAGGTGAATCTAACAAAATCTAACAAACCATATGAAGTAACGCCCTCCTGTCATTTCCTGTCTGTGACCATGTACCTGTGCAGTGGCCAGTCCATCTCAACGCACCACATCTCTGGCCGCGCCATACCAGGCGTTCAGATGCGAAAACAGCCGTGCCAAACCAAGCTTCGGCAAAGGTGTCGAACAGCCGCATGTGAGCAATCCCGACCTGCGAGTCCGAGTCCAGCCTGTGAACGCAAGTGGGACAAGATCTCTGGTGAAGGGTTGGATTTGCTGCAGAACACAACTGGCTTGCTAATCAATTGGAACTTCGATGTTAGTGACTCGAAGTGCATCAGTGTGACCACTCAAAAGGCTTGGGGAAACCTGGCATGCGCTGGCCAAGAGTGTTGGGGAAACATGGGGAAACCAATGCTGGCGCTCTGCACTGCTATATGACACCGGCCAGTCAATCTCAACGGCGCCTCGCATTTGGGGAACCCAGACCCCGTACCCCTTGGACGGACAATGGAAAAGGACCCCGTACCCCTTAAGGTCAAGCCCGCAAGGGTTCCTCATGTTCTTCACACCTCCTTTGGTTTCCTAGGGGGCAATGCACTTTTGAGGTAGCCCCGTACTATATAGCAGGAATCTGTTCCAGAATTGGGAGTTGATCTAAATTCCTTTATCCGGGATCCGTCATTTTCGCCAAAAAAAATTGTTTTCGCCAAATTTTCGCCTTCTTGCGTTTTATCTTTCGCCGAAGTACGTTGTATTTATGTGTGCCATGTATGTTGTGCTTTGTTCACGTCTATGGCTTCTTCTTTACTGGCAAAGACAAAATAGAAACTTCACTGTTTGTCAGCATGTGTCTTCTACTTAACTGTTGACACCCTGTACGTCTCTTTTGTTTCTCCTGGGTGTCAGCAAGAATCAAAATCGCAAGAATCACTGTAGTAGCCGGTCACTCAAACTTACTCATAATGGGCTGGGGGTCAGATGCGGCAGGGTGAACTTTCGCCAATCTTGAGCTGAACTTTCGCCAAACTTTCGCCTTTTGCGGGGTAGAGTTTTGTGGCAAAGCCACCCCCCCAAAGCAGGAGCAGGAATAGTAGTAGTAGTAGTCGTCGTCGTCGTCGTCGTAGTGGTAGTGGTAGTGGTAGTGGTAGTGGTAGTCGTAGTAGTAGTAGTAGTAGTAGCAGCCGCAGCAGCAGCAGGTTATCTAACTTCCACAGCTCATCTAGCTTCTGAGTCACTGCCACCAGCTGTTCAGAAAGCAAATGAACATTCATACAAAAGTACATATTTAATCTTTCGCCAGATCTTTCGCCAAAAAAAAATTACTTTCGCCAACTCGAGAAAAAACTTTCGCCAAATGAGATTTTGATATGTTCCGGGTCATCGTCATACACACTGCTGACTAGGACCTTTAGATCGACAACCAATTATGTTGTTTTATGTAAGACCAGCTTGTTCAAACTCCCTGGTGACCTGTGACCAGGAAACCAGCCCCTTGCGGGTCTTGCGTTCTTCGCCCTTCCCAGCCTTCCCATAGGCCCACAACATGTTGGAAGCCATCTGTGGGGAAAACTGCCGCCAAAGCCCGCTATCGATCTGGGCAGATCGGGCGCGTGGGTTGGCGCTTGTGGGTGCTTCTTGAAGGTCGGAGTCGGTCGGTTTGGATGGTGGGACCCGATTTGACATGCATTTCGCCATAGCCTCCACCATTTCGCCGCAAGCCCTGCGAAGTCCTGGGGGGACTGCCTTGAGGCCTGAGGCCTCACCCTGCCCAGGCCCCCAAAAGAATCAACAGGTTAGCTGATTACATCGTGACAGGGGGGCCGGTGGCACCTGTCATTCACTGACAGACCTACAGCGTGGCGTTGCGGTGGGAGTTCAATATGCATCAATATGCGTTGCATCAAGCACTGCTAGATCTTAGATCTGCTGTCAAAAAAACACGCGTGGGCGGACGCACTACCAATGAGGAGTAGAACAGAAAAAAACATGCTGTGCCGTGGCCCGCTTGTTTAGATGTAGTGCACAAGGCTCTCCTCAAAGGAGAGAACGCTTGCCAGAATATCCAATATGGGTTGACCAGACCATGCTTCTTAGACACGCTCAAGCCATTGTCTGCAGCATACGGAAGTAAAATGGCGCCATCTGCCCTCGTCAAGAACACTGCATTTTTCATGCTCGGGACCAAAGGATACGCATTGATCATCACGTAGAACCAAACAATCAGACCGCCGTAGGATGGTCAAATCTAACTCTGCATTCTCTCAACATGGGCTCCGGGGGGGCTACGATTACCCTGACTTTCTGGATCACTCCAGCACTCACTCCAGCCATTAACAACGGAAACCGCCAGGCTTCACCAGCCCCAAACCTGTTTGAAATCCCTGTCCAAGGGTCGGTATAGTTCGCGAAGACGGCGAAGAGCTCTTCGTGGCAAACATCCAAAGTGGCAAAGGCCCAAACCAAATTTGATACCTCGAAACGTGGGCAGTGGCAGAACCAGCACGAGCCAACAAGCATACGTAGGTTGCCCCATTGCCCCACTACTGCCACATGTATTTGATTGTATTTGTCTATAGCCATTCATGTTCTCTGGGGATGGCTAGGTCATGTTCCATCCAAGCTGTCAAAGTTACTCTTGAACGGCTAAAAGAAATTGGGGGCCAAGATGGACCAATGACCAAGTTTGCAAGTAGTTATATATATATATATGTGTGTAGTGGCGTCCATTTAGAACTGACCTCTTTCTAATTATTGAATTGACCCATAGGTTCAACTGCTGAAGCAGCACCCCAGTGATTCACTTTTGTTCAAACCGCAGTCTCCATTGTCCCTGCACACCTGGCAGGGGCCTCAGCGAAACACTAGATCAGAATGATCTAGTTAAGTTAAATCCAATAGAAACTATTTCCAAGGTAGCCTTCCTCGGAACGCCAGGCACAAATCCCGTGGAGTATGCTGGCAACACCCCAACAAAACAAACAAAAATTGCACATCTTTGGAATTGGAACCAAGTTTTCAGGGTAGCGCATATATATATATATATCATAAAGTTTTATAGTATTATATATTAATATTCATCATTGGGTTCATCCTGCTTGAAGGGTATCAGATATGACGATCGGACGATCGGTTCGCTTCTCCGAACTCGTCGTCCAGACCGCTTCCGCTAGGCTGAGCCAAAAGCACGAGCCGATCCTGGTACCCCAAACTATCTGCCCTCCCTTACCACCCTCGACTATCTGGCCCCAAACATGTTCAAACCATCTCTAACCAACAGCACCATATAGTGTTGTTTTAAAGAATAACGTGGTTGTGGGTTGTTGTGGGTTGTGGGTG